CAAATTGCATTTAAAAATGAAATATATTATGTAAATCACAAGTACATAGCTGGTTTAGACCTCATAACGGAAAAGATTACAAGCACCAAATTATCCTGTTTGGGAAAGAATGGGTATTGAAAAAAACTGAATACTAAATACTGAATAAGTAGCTCATCATGTAATACGTGAAATAGATGTTGACAGTTAATTCAAATCATGTGACGTAATTTTATAGAATGAGCACAACTGCCCATAGAATTGAAGAAATAAGCATAAATGTAGAATAAAGTAAAGTTGAAGAGCTGGCAACAATGTTTCGAGTAACTGTTGATGCAAACTCAAGATTCAAATCTTTCGCACTACTATCTGGCCACAGATTCATGCAGTCCCTTCCAGGTTTACCAGAAGTGTATATGAATGTGTGATCAAATATTTTGTTGCAGAACATCATGGAATTTGTAAAGTAATCTTTGAAAGGCATACATTTTTGTTTGTCGCATTTGTCGTTATCAGTCCACTTCCAGGTATCACTCCAATCATTGGAACACGTCATATCATTCTTGCAAGCATCAAACCAGGCATCACAATCATCGGAACAAAGTGGTATGCTTTTAAATTTTTCTGTTCTCGTCGAACCACCCATTGGATCATTGACAATCCAAGGTGCCAGATTTGGGGAGCATGAATAGAAGCATGTATTCTTGATGAAAAATTCTCGACATTTATCCGAGAGCTTACCACAATGGTTCCACTTTCTGTTGAACAATGTCAAAGCTCCATCTTTCTTGATAGCAGAAGTTGTATTTGCACTGCAGCATCCATGACTTCTCCATGGAACACATTCTTTAGAGTCATACTCAGGCCCTGGTTTCTTCTTATGGTTGCTTGTTGCAATACATCGATCTAAATAATCGACAACCTTCTTGCTGATGGCAGCTGACCACTTACGTGACTGCTGAGAAATTCTTGCTACCAGTTCGTTTGGATTACGACCATCCTTGTCTACATTTGGCCACATTTTAAAACAGTCCTGTCCAGGAACACCATTTGCGTACTTAAATGTCCCACCAAAAACATTTTTACAAAACGTCACAGAGTTATTGAAATATTCTTTAAATGTTCTGCATTCTTTAAGACACTTGTTGCCCTGCCTTGTCCAATTCCATTTCAGAAAATTATCGGTGCATGTCAGGTCGTCTTTACAAGCATTAAACCAGTCATCGCAGTCGCTTGCACAGAGAGGCACATCTACTATCCTTTCCCTTCGAGTTACCCTCGATCTTTGTCTACAACAATATAAGGACCAACGTTTGGTGAACATTCATAAAACATGTATCCCTCAAGAACCACTCTCTACAAGCTTTGCTAAGATTACGACTGCAGTGATCCCATTTCATGTTATACAACGTCAATACGCCGTCCCTCTCGATACTCTGCGATGTTTTATTGGTACAACACGATCTTTTGGCCCAAGGTGTGCAAAATCTGAAGTTCTCAAACTCCATTCCAGGAGTTTCTTTATGATGCCTCGAATCTAAGCATCGGTTTAGATTATTCACTTTACGTCTTCACCAAACACGGCATGAATGTACAAAATTGCAATAAAAACCAGCAAATTTCTATCGGCAAAATGCATTTCTTCTGACAGTCACCGATGTAAGCACTAACCACAGACACAGCAATGACAGAAATGTGAAATTTCAGATTGCACAATCGTATTAAAACCAATTGCTTTTGTAATGAGAATATCTTAAATACCTAATTAAATATCATGCATATCCCGTATTTTCAGTTCAAAGTGTAATATTTTGCACGATTGTTGGGAGGCAACGAACCTCAAAAATTTTCATCGGAAGAGGCTCTTTAAATGTTAGCATTTATAGGGGGTACTTTGTTCATTGTATCACAAAGATATGTAGATATTATATTCATGAATACTTTCGGCCTGTTTAGCTGTTGTAAGACACAAAATGGTACATTTTCGTTTGTTCATAAATCAGCTATACGTCCTGACACATATAATATCTATTTCATGAAAGCCTTGGTGTGGCCATTGCTTTTTTCCCATGTAAACATTCTTTACGGGTTCTCTCCATGTCAACTTGCTCACGTGTGTTTTATTGTGAAACATTCTGCTGTATGAAAGCCAGGGTGTCGCCATTGCTTTATCCCTTTTAACATTCATAACATTTTTTGGGTCCTCTCCATGCCGACTAGCTTATGTGTGCCTTATTGCGAAACAATTTAAACGTTACATCACTTGCAAACGGCTTTCGTGTAAACTGGCTATAATTGATTTAAACACAGAAATTGACAAACCTCGAAATATCTTCAAAGAGCAATAAACAGACATTTTTGAAGAATGTAACAGACACAAAATAAATATCAAAAATTTCTGGCAAATTACAATAGCATTTAACAACAGTGCATTAAGGAATTTTGAATTCGTTTCGTTTGTACTTCGAGAAATGAAATGTGGAACTCACTCAAGCAACCAATAATTCATGAAAATTGACGAGAAGACTGTAATAAGGGCAGCAAGTGCTGATATCATTATGATGTTCACGAGTAATTTGACAATTACGTCATTTGTAAACTACCTAACATTTATAATGAACAATTGACCATGCATGTCCAAGAAACGCTTCTTGTCATACGCCAAAAGGCAGCAATTATTTATCTTTATGTTTTGTTTTCAAAAGGAAATGTTTCAAAAGTTGCAAGAACCGTAGAAAAAGGGGCCAACGTTGAGCTATTTATGTATAGTAGTGCTAATTTACGCTATAGCTGACAAATATTCTTTCTCAAATCTTTGAAAACCAAGACTAGAGATATCTAACGTAGAGAGGATCAAGTTCGTGACTTTCACCATAAAAAGATCACGCAAGCGAAGGATACATAGATGGTCTGTCTGCATAAGATGAGAACTGACAATGTTAGCACAATTGGGAAAAATTTGTTGACGACCATAAGGTATCTATGATTAATTTGTGTTAGGCAAATAACACAATTTTTGGTAGCTATGTCGTTTTCCAATTTACATGTTTTTTTTACTTACATATGTTCTCGCTAAAATCAAATTAAATTTCTCTATATCATGTAAGTATATAACTCTAATTTATCAACAATCAACACATTTGAACAAATATTGGCAAGTTTGTAGCATAAAAACTAAAATTAACATGATGTTAAAACGTTTAAATTAGGAAACAATCGAGCACAGATATATAATATACATTTCAGAAACGTTTCAATAGCTGAAGAAGAATGCAAGCAGTCATTACAAACATGTTGCAAAGAAAGTCCTCTACAGTTTTAAAGCATCCTTACTTTAAGACATTAAAAAATTATGCAACATAGGCACTTCAATAATTATATCAAAGTAAAACTTAATTATGGTCGGTATATCTTACGTAACGAACAAGGTTAATGTTGGTCTTTAAAGAAGCTATTCGAGCAATAGCTAATATATATTTGAGCGACGCACAATTTCTAGCAAAAGTTTGTTGTTTGCGTTACGCCGTAAGAAATACATTCATGGATGTTTATAATTGCCTTGTGAAGTTTAACCCGAAATGTTAGACGTCTGGCTTGATATTTCAAAACTTAGATTCTCAAAACTCAATATGTCTTTTGCTTACGTATGACAAAGCCACATGTGCAAGGACCACATCTACCAACCACACTCCATAAAACCACAAATTTCAACTATAGCGTGACATAACGACATGTGACACCTTTTAATTAGATCTTCACTTCAATGGCTAAAAGGCTTGAAATGAAAACATAGTTGGTCATAAAATGAAACCAAATTTCATCTGTCGGTTGTTCTAAACAACATTCTATTCATAGTCAATTCACCCACCACAGTTTTATACAAATTTTTGGCATTTCCTTCAATAATGTTACTCGAACAAACTCTGCATTCCCAACAAAAACGAATAGCTATTATAATTTGTTTTATGTCATGCTTCTCAATTCAACGAGGACCAACAATGAAATGCAAGAAATATTGCTGAGCTTATAAAATATCTACGTTGATTATGATAATATTTGCAAGGTTTGTTGAAAAATTGCCGCTGAGTTTTGCACGCTCCTGTTGCAAGGACTGTATGGCATTTTATCATTATTAAAGTTTCGTCAGATAATTAAGATAAAGTTCAATGTAACGAAATCTGCCAACGGTATTCAGCAAACTGTTGAAATCAAATATCACACCCCCCATCACCACAGACAAAACAGAACTTTCTCATGTCGCGGTAACAATTATGAGGTAATACTATGCAATATTTACACAAGAAGCCTAATCAATGCACCCTTATTGTTAACAACTATCCTAAAGCGTTTTTCCTTCTACTTACAATAGAGATAACCACAGGTAGCCTTACTCACGCTGGTGTATCCTATCAACCATGCATGACAAACACGTGCTCTTGCATTTGCTAAACAAAATATTACATTTACAAATAACTGTAACATGCAGTGCACAGTTTTGCTGTTCTAAAAATATACATCAACAGGGAATAATGACAAGTACTGTAAAATCATTGAAAGTATAAAATGGAATTTGCACTTGCAACGTATTCGCATGATAACTACGTAAGTTTAAAAAACAATACCCAACGGCAAAAATAACAAAAATACGCTCAACTTATATATGAAAGGTATTTAAATATTCAACATAAAACCATTTAACCTTTTCAGTTGACATACTTATAAATATCAATGGCAAATCGTTCTTGCTTGAGTGTTTGCTATGAATCTGACAACCATCTAAGAGAAGAACGTGTTGTCTGTTTTTTCCGGCCTTTCATTGCCTTTTAGACGTAAGACTTCCTATTGTGAATCATATAAAAATAGAGCTTCATGTATCTCATGCATCTACGTACGCATAGTTGCCAATTCAATGTAGAATTCATGAACAATAATTTATTTCACATACGAACATTTTTTCCAAAAACTGTATTTCACATTCCTACATCACAATTCCTATGACATATTTTTAGTTAGGCAACACATTTTTTTAAGCTTATACTTTTAGATTTTATTAATTTGTACCGTACATAAGGCTATGTATGGTATGAAAAATATGGCTAAACCTACAATTGAAAACTACATTTACACAAGCCAATGTCATAGTTAATAATGGAAAATGAAATGATTAAAGGCAGCAAATTTTTATACCAGCAATGCTTATATAACTGAGTATATGATGTGTTTTATGACAGTTGCAAAATTTTAAATGTACCACATTCAAAATCCCTTTCGTTTTATACAGTTAAAACAACTGCCCATAGAATTGACGAAATAAGCATGAATGCTGGATAAAGTAAAGTTGAAGAGCTGGCAATAATGTTTCGAGTAACTGTTGATGCAAACTCAAGATTCAAATCTTTCGCACCACTATCTGGCCATAGATTCATGCAGTCCCTTCCAGGCTTACCAGAAGTGTATTTGTATGTGTGATCGAATATCTTGTTACAGAACATCATGGAATTTGTAAAATAATCTTTGAAAGACGTACATTTTTGTTTGTCGCATTTGTCGTTATCAGTCCACTTCCAGGTATCACTCCAATCATTTGAACACGTCATATCATTCTTGCAAGCATCAAACCAGGCATCACAATCATCAGAACAAAGTGGTATGCTCTTAAATTTTTCTGTTCTCGTCAAACCACCCATTGGATCATTGACAATCCAAGGTGCCAGATTTGGGGAGCAAGAGTAGAAGCATGTATTCTTGATGAAAAACTCTCGACATTTATCCGAGAGATTACCACAATGGTTCCACTTTCTGTTGAACAATGTCAAAGCTCCATCTTTCTTGATAGCAGAAGTTGTATTTGCACTGCAGCATCCATGACTTCTCCATGGAACACATTCTTTAGAGTCATACTCAGGCCCTGGTTTCTTCTTATGGTTGCTTGTTGCAATACATCGATCTAAGTAATCGACAACCTTCTTGCTGACGGAAGCTGACCACTTAGGTGAATGTAAAGAAATTCTTGCGACCAGTTCGTTAGGATTACGACCATCCTTGTCTACATTTGGCCACATTCTAAAACAGTCCTGTCCTGGAACACCTTTGGTGTACACAAATGACCCATCAAAATATTTTTACAAAATTTTCGGCGTTATTGAAATGCTCTTTAAATGTCTTGCATTCTTTATCGCACAGGTCGCCCTTCTTTGTCTTTATCCAACTTTTCAAAAAACTATCTGAGCAGAGGAAGTCGTCTTTGCAAGCATTATACCAGTCATCGCAGTCGCTTGCACATAAAGGCACATCTACTATCCTTTCCCTTCGAGTGACCTTAGATCTTTTGTCTACAACAATGTATAAACCAATGTTCGGTGAACATTCATAAAAACATGTATCCCTCAAGAACCACTCTCTACAAGCTTTGCTAACATTACGACTGCAGTGATCCCATTTCATGTTATACAACGTTAACATTCCGTCTCTCTCGATACTTTGAGACGTTTTGTTGGTACAACACGATCTTTTGCTCCATGGCGAACAATATTTGAGTCCACCGGGTTCCATTTCAGGAGTTTTTTTATGATGCTTAGCATCTAAACATCGGTTTAACACGTCCACTTCAACGTCTAAGTCTGCGCTGCCCACTGCATGAAAACATGAAGTAATCATCAAAAGCAGCAAATGTCTACCAGTATAATGCATCTTGTCGGGCCGGCGTTTGCTATATTAACAGAGTTTGTAAAAAAAGCAATCTAATTCAATCATGTGAAATACAGAGGTAATCGTACTGATTACATTGACCAAGAGAATATATCCAAGTCGAAGTATCACTGGAAATACCACGTGGAAATTAACTTCACGTGCATGCAATTCAAAATAATTAGTTCGCAGTTTATGCAAATTTATTTGTCTATTGTAATAAACATAACATCGAGGCTCAAAGTTTACACTACTTTGTGATTTGAGGTACCATTGAATTCTGTGAGTCATATCTTTCAATTTATCTGTCCGACATATTAATCGATTAGGATACGACAACCTAAGCATTGCCATTTGTTGCGCAATCGTGTACGTCACAGCGTGTGTAATGTAACCTTGTAAATGTGAGAGCAGATTTACAAGCATATTTTGTGGAATATAGAACTGCCTTGGCTAAAAGTACACTCATTGGCATTTTTAAAGTTTTTCGCATAGCAAACTACACCGGCTCCACAATATCCTAAAACTTTTCCATTATTTCCAAACTTTATTGAAGTATACATGAAACAAAATTAATAAGCCCTTTATGACCGAGCGCGAGGTCTTTACGGAGAAATAACGGACTGAGGTGTTTTTGTACAGACCGAACCCGTAGGGCGAGGTTTGTACAAAAAGACAGAGACTCGAAAAATACCGAGATTCGAAATCTAAAATTATTAGCTCTACCCTCTAACTTACTCCAGGCTCTGATAGCAATTTATCATATACTGATCACATATTTGAAAATTATCCCAAGACACATTTTAGAAACCACTGCATGGAGCGATATTAGGCGGCGCAAAGTACTTATATTTATGATGTGCAATCAATAAAAGAAACAAACACCCCCCAAAATGGGCATCTTATATTTGAGATTTGACCTTTAACCAACTCCCATTTTCTAAAGTTCATACATTCACACATGTAAATACAAAAAACGTTTTCCTTTAAAATGAACTAAAAGCCATTGCTTAATGACGCGTTTTCCTACATATATGACCGATGGATCAATCTCCCATGGCTGAATGAGAATTGAAACTTGGAATCCAAGAACACAACTGGAAAGACCACGCAAAATTTTGAGGAACTCTAGCAGAAAGTATTCCAAGAAAGATAATAGTATGGCTTCCGTGCAATTTGAAAAAAAAAAACATTCAAAAATCGAAATAAGAAATCCTGGCATTACGGATCTTTACACACTCACAAAACAAAAACAATCCACATCATGCACACAGCAGAAAATCAACGAAACAAACTGCACAATTTCCAACAATAGTCATTCACAATAATTTACACTGCGTGTGATTACATAATTTTGCACTCTTATTTTAAAAAAATCCACACTTTTATAGACTTTTGCCGTCACAGCCGAGAATCATTTGCTACTGCTATACAAAACATATAAATGTAAAACACAGCCGCGAGGCCAAAATCATAAAACAAAAAACGATTGACACTCCGTAAAAGGTAACTTGGCTACTTTGCTACATAGAACAAGATCAGATGATGACATGCAATACTTGTCGAAATGTTTAGAATAAATGTTTACTTTTTTACCCAGTGTCAATCGTTGGGTTTTTAAAAGCCGCGAGGCTCGAAAATATTACGTTGCTACATATAGTTTGGTATGCTGTGAGAATATTTAGTTCCAAGGAAATGGAAGATGATTGTCACCGTAATTTATGTTAATAAAAAAGAGTAAGTTCGAAATGCCCAAGTTGGTTGTCAAAGTCAATCTTGATGATAAAATCGTCCTCGTCGACGAATTGCTCCACCATTCTGTCGTCCATATTTACTAAAATTCTACAACAGTCGGTAGATGACAACCGTCAAAAACTTATCTCGAAACAAATTAAACGAGGAGAACGGAAACTTAAGGTTGGATCAATTTCACTTCCCAAAGATAACTGGCTAAGTTTATTGATGACAGCACAAAAAATTAATAAAATGCATATTTGATACAAATAGCCAACAAATGCAGTACTTACCGAAACATATGACAGATGGACAAAAGACAAAGCTTGGAAACAATCAAGGAGAACGCTGCGCCGAAAGATAGATAACGTAGTATCTTACCCTTTCTTGGTCTTCTTATACACCGCTTTTATCATCTCTGGTGGAATATCATATTTCTGAGCTACCTGAAAAAAATGGACGTGTTTTCTATTTGACTTGATTACACCAAACAATACACTAGGTTATCGGCTCTACCATCAGCACATCAGCACATACGCTATCCTGGAAATACCTTACGTCGTTGACTACATAAAGTGCCGCCTAATTAAGTTGAAATTGGATGGAAGAATACTAAGTTTTCATAATTGCTTCATTCGAAGATCTTCCAGATTAAATATGATAAGGATGAGTCCAGGTGAAAGACCGTCACCATGATCACACACACAAGTGCTGCGCAATAGATAAGACGAATAAAGATGAAAGTATGAGAAAATCTTTAGCAACCCTCATTATTGCATGTTAAATAACAGTGATGCATTTTGATGGTCGATTCTTCTAAATTATTATACGTAGAAGTCAATGGATTTGCTGACGTATTAGAAAACACACTATTATCCCAATATAAAACCTACTTTACTACTAAATATCACGCACACGAGTCTTCCAATCACATGATGTCAAAAACATTGCAAATACTTCGTGTACACTTACTGCTTCACGGAGGTCAACAACACCAAAGGAATCGAGCATTAGCGCATTGTAAACTTTCTCCTCTTCTTTTTTGACGTATATAGTAACAGCTATAAAAACATAAATCGTGTACATAAAATACGAAGTACACGCAATTTCACTAATACTATAATTTTGTTTCCTTGACATGTTGCGTGGTAGGTATTTTATGTCAGGAAAACCGCCTGACTATTGCGAAATATTGCTTCACCGAGAAGTGCTTTCAATTCCATTCAGGTGTTGAAGAAAGAAGTACCTGGCTGAGGGGGTCTTTGTACCCTTTGAGCTTTGTTTCGTGGTATAAACTCCAAATCAGCAAGCTCATCCTGAATTATAATGAAACCAAATACAATGAAGACACTGTGTGATCACGGAGTTGCACGTAAACAATTATTTCTGAAGGTAAAACGTCCATCAACTCTTTACACCAAAATTAAAAATCAAATTCTGCGCTATACAACCAAGTCATTTTCAGGGATTTTTTCCCAAGCACTAAACGTAATAGCTTCTCCACTGACATGAGAGAATACAGGACACAGAGACAATTTCTCTACCCAACTGGATACATTCAAATTGATAGCAGAAGATTCCAATAAAAATCTATCTATAGAACAATATTCTGTTTCTTACACCGAGTCTCACACTAGTTGAGTGTGTGCGCATGTGTGCAATCAATAACGAAAAGTGCTTGCATTAAATTCAATAGAAACGATCTTCCGTGTGTTAAAAGCCTGTGGTTACATCATTAAGAGGTAAATAAAACGGTGAATTTGAAGCAAACCATGCGCTGAGTCCCAGTCTTTCCAAAGCTATGTATCTTACAAATGAAGATAATATGTATGACTTACATTAGCGATGTCCAAAGAAGCCTTCAATCGTCGTTTGTTCTCGTTTTCCCTATGAAGATGTTCTTCATGTAAAATTATCTATCTACTTTTTTCAAGCAGTTTATACATTTCCCAGACACCATGTCTTCAATCTTATTCTTTAACTTACTTTACTGCATGCAGGAAAGTGGCGTTCTGAATTGCGGCTTCATTCAAATGGAAACACTACAGATTGAGAAATACACAGAGTAACAGCAAATCAATTGCACATACGAATATCATAGCCGAAAATTTCACACGTATTGATTGTCAAGAGCATTGAGCTTACTTCGTTTGGACTAAATAGAATTGGCTTAGGTCCTAAAGGTGTCGTAGGAGTTAGCTTCGTAAATTTAGATGGTGTTTGAAATACCGATGGCGAAATCGCAGAATCTAAAAGAAACAACAAAAACGTCAGGCGAATTAGCATATCAAGTAAAAAAGGCTTTCCATAAATAATGTCAAAATCAAAGTAACCAAAAGCGCCTACATCAGACTCAGGGAAACTACTTCTTTAGATAATTAAATTGATTTTAAGATCATTTGCAATATATTTGATAAGTGAAATTTTTTATCTTCGTGAACTTCTGGGGCCTAAAACAGTTGACTCCGCACCCCATAGGAAGTGACGTAAAAAGAAGAAAACGCTCATTTCGTAAAGAACATACACCGTAAAGAACATACACCACAGAGTTTCAGTGGGAAACAGCGTCCAAACAGTTGTACTTTTTAAATGTTTTCCTTGATTATTTGCTCAAACGACGTAGTCAAACTAAACACCGAACGATATCTAAAATTTAAGACTGGTTATAAGAAGACTGGTTAAAACAGCTTTATTATATGGCAAGCGTCACTTCTGGGTAAATGGCGCGCTTTGATTGGCTCAGAAACATTTTGCCAGTCCATTATTTTCCCGTAATCGACCACGGTCCAAAAGGCATAAATTTACATTCAAATGTAAAGAAACTTTGTAATGCAAAAAGGAAAACGCAAAATAAACGAAACAAAAAACTATTTACGAATGTGATTCGAAGGAAAGACATTTGGAAAACAGTTTAACTATCTAGACGATACAATTTGAAACGATATATTTTTTACGGACGAAAACTAGGAAAGTGAAAGCCAACCAGTTAAAAACAGCTAGGACGAGAAAGAAAGCAATCTTCGTTTCAGGTCAAATAATGCCATATAATAAACCTTTTAATAACAGGTCGCTTTTTCGGTCTTTACTGAAATATCGGACCTCTGTCATTTTGTACAAACCTCGCCCTGTACGGGTTCGGTCTGCACAAAAAGACCTCGGTCCGTTATTTCTCCGTAAAGACCTCGAGCTCGGATATCAAGGGCTTATTATTGTTTACCATAAACAAGTACAATGAAGCTATATCTTTAATGCTAGCGTTCTCCTTTTTACGTCACATCCGGCGCGAGGTCACCAACTTTTGGGCCCAAAAAACCCATGAAGATAAATTTTTATAATATCAAATATATTGCAAATGTTTTCAAAATTTACATAACTAAAAAAAAGACACTTACCTATGTATGTAGTGGGCAGTGACATCATTTTTAAGCGGGTCAAACAAACATTTATTTGAAACACCAATGACAATAGAAAAAATGAAGTAAACAAACGACAAGATAGCTCATCACCAAACTTTGTAAGGTAAGAGTACATCGCAGATTTTATTGTACACGGATTTTTATCACATGCAATTCCGTGACGACTCATTCTTTCTACGTAGCTAGCTATCACTGAGCCAATCATTCGAATAAAAAAACGAGAACTCAAACATACCCACTAACGAACTGCTTTGCTTCATTAACTTCTGCATTCTCTTTTCAGCACTTCGTGACTCATCCTTGTTTTTTCTTTCTGCACCCTTAAGAGTTAGAAGAAAAATATAAAAAGAAAGCAGGACGACGAAATTCGGGCAGGTTACGCCTGCGAGCGGGTTTACCTTATCTCTGAATATTTTGATTTGACAAAAAAGCACGATGGACAGGTTCAGCATCGGGCACATCTACATCTTCATACGTGTCAATTTGAAGATGCAATGGAATGCCCTGTGGAACAGTAAAATTATAAGTTCTGCAAACATCACTGAAACATGTCTACAACTGTATCATTTTACAAAGTTTTGTGCGTATAGAGTAGAAAAATCGATGCATTTAGTAAGAAATTTAGACATGGAGAAATTTACACGAGAATTAACGGTCAAATATACCTTCACTCCTTTTTGTGAAGAGAAATCAGTGCTCAAGCAGTTCATACGTAAAACAATCTGCAAATAAATAAACTACTGTAGACAACACAACACTGATGAATCCAGCGTTACGAATAGTCAATTGCAAAAGCTCATCACATAGTGAGGTTTATTTCTATGGAAATTCATGTAGAGGTTATAAAGGTACTTTGAATTTAAAAAGAGTGGCTAAAACCTATTTTGCAAAACCCTGGATACGGTAAGTACAGGTAGAAAAGTGCATGTTTTCATAAGATCTTGATGTAATGTTGAAATCTCAAGCATATGTATGAACTTTATCATACTGTTTTAATCAAACTGATTGCCTCAGTCAAAATCACAGTTAAAGAGATAAATGATTGATTTGCATGGAAAAACCATGTGTTTTTACACGGTAAACTTTACCTTGGCATTCACGTTCATATCCCAGTAAAACGCAGCCGCATTATAAGCAATGTCATCTACATGATCGTCGATGTTTGCACAAGACTTGCGATCTAATAGATAAGAAACAGGCGTGAATTGCCTTAGACATTTCTACTCTTATTCCAGCGTGGAACCGTTGTTATTGAAAACAAATCAATACATATGTACACAGATGCTTACCAATATCAAATGCTCTTTGCTGTGGATTAGCTTGTTGCGCGTGCCAATAACGCCAATGTTGAATCTCGACATTGGGATCTTTTTCATCGCGAAAAACCAAATGCAAGATAGACTGTGAAATAAGAAAACAAATTATAAACCAAAAAAGCAACGAGTACAGTGAGCCACTTGAATCGCCTACCTTCACTTTTGTGTTTTGAACTCCAGATGACTCGGATACATTTGCTTCAAAGTTAATGGAATAGAACTGTCCTGAAGAAAGGTAAACATCGATTTAATAATTTGCTCGTGTCAAACCTCTTTCTGACTAACATTCTTAAACTAAAAATGAAATGGTCTATTTTTTTTGCTCGAAATACCCTTTGAATCTCCAAAATAAAATATTTGACAAGAAACTGTATAGTCTGAACCTTTGTTTAGATACGTCAAAGAGTCTTCTCCGCGTCTCTGAATGATCGAAGGAGGAGCTTCTAAGGTAAAACAATACCTATAAAAGTAGAAAGCAATTTTTAAAGGCTATATATGGGCCTGAGGAACCAAATACGTCACGATTCAGATTGGACTCACTTTTCCTGCGCAGCAAAAAGCGTCTGTGGCTTCATGGTGGGAACATAACACGTATAGTTGAATCCCTATTCGCAAAGGAAAAAATGATTGAGTATTCCACAGAGAACGAGGAAATTGATCATGACAAATATAAAAATAAGATCGCAAAGGTCCCGTCAATTGAGTGACGTTTTTTATAAATATTGATAAGTTGAGGTTGGTACGAATAACGAAAAATAAAAATGAATTTACACGCACCTCGTGTCTACGAACTAAAGGGGATATTTCTGTTGAGGAAGCCGGAGATACAGAGCTACCGACTGTCGATGATTGAGCTTCACTTTTTTTACGACAATCTGACGGGCTATACGTAAGAATTTAGGAAACTTATATAATTACTTTCAAAACTTCATCCTTATATGAATCATAACCAATACAACAATAAAAAATAGAGAAAAGGTTATTAATAAACATGCACAGCCGCACTTAAACCTTAAATGCATGATGAAAAAATTGTGGCGCATCGTGTACAATTGTGGTAATATGTATTAATGTTGCGTATAACGTACATTGAATGTATACTCGTGGTATATCATGAAGTACACTATATGTATCGTCGTGTTAAAAATTGTTTACCATATGTATCTTCATGCTAAAAAATGTACACTATACAGTATGTATCGTCTTGTTAAAAGATGTAAACTATATGTATCGTCGTGTTAAAAAATATGTATCGTCGTGTTCAAAATTGTTTGCCATATGTATCGTCATGCTAAAATATGTACACTATACAGTATGTATCGTCGTGTTAAAAAATGTAAAAAATATGTATCGTCGTGTTAAAATTGTTTACATATGTATCTTCATGCTAAAAAATGTACACTATACAGTATGTATCGTCTTGTTAAAAGATGTAAACTATATGTATCGTCGTGTTAAAAAATGTAAACTATATCACCATTATGTATAGTGTACATTAAAAATGTACACTATATGTACACTATTATGTATACATTAAAAAATGTGAACTATATCGCCATTATGTATAGTGTACATTAAAAAATGTTAACTACATGTATCGTCGTAGTACATAATGTTCTCTCCATTTTTTCCACATTACCTAGTTTGTTGCTTCACGATTGGATATCGTAACGCCTGCAAAGATGTATGAAAAGTTTATTAAATGCATCAAAATATCCTCCCGCTGTAAACACACTGTTCTTTTCAATTGGAACTGTAGACTTTTGATATGTACTTAGGAAAGTTAAAAAATCGTTATTTTTCACAACGTTTTTTCCAAGACCCTTATCCAGTTTCATTTCCTTCGAAACATTGCACTAAGTGCAGTAAAAAGTAATATCAAAGATCAGAGAACACAACGTTTTTTCCAAGGTCCTTATCCAGTTTTATTTCCTTCGAAACATTACAATAAGCGCAGTAAAAAGTAATATCAAAGATCAGGGAACACAACGTTTTTTCCAAGGTCCTTATCCAGTTTTATTTCCTTCGAAACATTACAATAAGCGCAGTAAAAGTAATATCAAGATCAGGGAACACAACGTTTTTCCAAGGTCCTTATCCAGTTTTATTTCCTTCGAAACATTACAATAAGCGCAGCACAAAGTAATATGAAAGATCAGGGAAACACATGCAAAACAAGCACACGTTAGTTAAAGGATTTGTGCAACTTCACCACGCCTTATCATCATATTCATAATTGAGTTGGCAGTTTTTTTTAAAAAAAAGAACCGAAACCGAAGCAAACCGAGAAAAATTTTCCGGAACCAAACAGCTCTTGCAGACATTATATTGGATTTCGAGAAATCTAAAATCGTGTTGTGTTCATAGTAAATATTTAGAAATAATAATTGTTGCATACCTCAACAGAGGCGGACGTAGATGATCTTGTTTGACTCTGTCTACTCGTACTTCGTCTAATAAACGATAACAAACGCCTTAGTATGGGACGGTCTTCCTCCTTCCCAAAATTAGCTACTATTAACTTATATAAATCGTGATGATAGACTCCTTAGGATGGTGTTGGGAACGCTATAGAAGGTAAGTTCATGGCCAACACACTCACAAGTTTCATATATTTTATCACTCACGGTTTCACATACAGATATGTGTACTCGACTTAATACTCGAAATTACTACCCATCTCTATTAAATATAGTCTCTAAATACCCCTTACTCACGTGATTGTATACTAATCATGATTAACTATATGATTACGTAATTCAAATCGTCTCAGTTCCCTACAGATGGAGGGACAGTCTCCCTCCTTTCCACAATTACCATTCACTTACATAAATTCATGATAATAGAATACCAATGTTTATTTGATGAGGGGTGACAATCATAAACGTAGAAATAATATTACAAAATATTCTGTTGTCAAGAACTATTGGACTTTACATAAATTATATAGCTACAATGTACATCATTTTCTTCTTTGATAAAAATTCAGAAAGTCTTGATGGAATAACCTAAGTGAGCTTTTGGAAATGCAATATAAGAAACAAGATACGTTTTTCTTGAATTTACCTTGGAGGTTCGCTATCACTGCGCCGCTTTAATTCAGAGATGTTTGATTGAACAACAGTAACGTGAGCCTACAGTACAGACGTATTTGATTGAGCAAGGGTAACATGAGCCTACAGTACAGATATGTTTGATTGAACTAGGGCAACATGAGCCAACAGTACAGAGATGATTGAACTAGGGTAACATGAGCCTACAATACAGACATGTTTGATTGAATTATGGTAACATGAGCTTACAGTACATACATGTTTGATTTAACTATGGTAATGCAAGCCTACGGCATGTTTAACTATGTAATGTGAGCCTGCAGTACAGAGATGTTTGATTGAACTATGGTACAGTAAGCCTACAGTACAGACATACTTAACTATGGTAACATGAGCCTAAAGTAGAAAGATGTTTGATTTAACAATGGTGACGTGAGCCAATAGGAAAATTGTTACAAATGTACATGTTGAATAACTAAATAATTTTACGACATCACTTGATCAAAGCAATGAGCAAAATATTCTTACGAAATAGTTTAATCACCTCAGTTGGAGTCAGAACATCAGCTAACGTGACACTTCCAGTGCTATCACTGAAAAAAGATAAAGTAATGTAGCCAAACAAACACATGTAGCACAAATGTAATTGAGTTAATAATTAAATTTTCTTTTTCCCAATGGCAAAGCCAGTTGGTGAAATGTTCATCGTCTTCACTCACTTTTCAGAAGTGGGTGAAGTGGGTGATCTAGCAGATTCGTGGACATAATAGTCATAGAGTAAACCAAGTGAAGCTGCAACTGATGGATCATCTGCACTAACTTGAGCTAGGGAGTGAGGCTGTTAATGCGGAACTTTCTGATGAGTCAGAGGAGAAATATGCCTTGAGGAACTCTTTGCCACGATCTTCTTGTTCAGTAGTGTCTGTTTCAGCATCTTCATCTTTTGATAGACTGCTGGTGGATTTTATTGATGAAGTTTGGCTTTCTTGAAGTGCTACAGCACTTTGTAGCTTTGTCTATAGGTATGATTAATGAAATTCATATAGTAAATAAAATTATCTTTTTCGGTGGTCATAATTTATTAAATTGCCAACCTTACAAATGACAATGATGTATCAAAATGGGTGCGACAAAAAAACACACTCACAAAAAAATTCACTATCTCATGTAGCATACATCAGTTGTTTCATCATTTGCTTCATCAAATACAGTACGATGGTTAAATTATTGAAAAAAATTGCTGTTTAAAAGATATTCAATTCCATTCGTGAAAAGGAATTTAAAATAAAGTGAGAAAGTATTGCGTTCATTACATTGTGTGCTCGCTCAAATGCTGACTCTAAATATGACTAAAAGAAAGGATGTTAAAATGTTATTCACTACCAAAACTAACCTTCATCCTCAGAACTGAAGGAGCTTAGTGTATCAAGATATACACATATACAGATGTCATACACACAAGGAAGTAATTATAGAATACCCTGCCACATACTACCTGCAAGCCTCACCCTAATCATAACCTAGCCAAATTGCTGTTGGCCATCTTTGTATCACTGTATTCTGTAATATTCATCACACAATTAACAAAATAAGCTCTCATAAACTAACTAATGAGCTCAACATTCCACTTCACATAACTTTAATACAACGCTAATTCATCGTGCAGGTACTTTCATGTTTCCATTGCCGATAAAAAAGTTTGTCATAAGCGGAATTTCCAGATAAATAAAAAAGTAGAAATTCAAAACGGCGCCAAACGAATACAAAGGATGAAAGGCTTTGAAAAGCTACATATGTATATGAGCCGACACCACTTTTCAATTTCTGAGACAGTTTGTGTTTATACTTTGTCACTATACATCCTGGGCATCTTTTTAAAACAAAAATAGGGTCGTGTTACCTCAAACATAAAAAAAGCACTTATAAAAGGCTAAATACTACATCCATTGATTGACATTGATAAAAAGAAAGATATTAGTAAACAAACGTGAACATTATTGAAGATCGCATTTGTCGCTCTATCACATGATTCTTTGAATTATAAATATTGCATTCACCAAGGTTTACTGAATTCACTTACTTATCATCCATGCAAGATAACTTTAGACGCAGCAATTTAAAGACTTGTATTCCCGTTTGTTCACATCACGTACAGATGTCATGGTAGCCTTGCGCTTGTCATTTTCGCGACGCGTCATCGTTGTTGACTGTTGTGTTTACACATTACATGATCTACTCCCCCCGGAAACACTAATTTTTATTAAATAGCCGTAAAAGAAGGCGCAGGTGGCGAGCTAGAATCCGTTTTTATTCCTGCAGCACATATCTATTGGCGTTCATTCGCGGGGGAAACAATTAGTAAAATTAATGTTTCAAAGAAATAACTATACAAATCTTTTTAAGTTCCTTCTCTGGAAAGACAATGGAGAAAATTGTAAATGTGAAAATCGGGCTGACTTTGCTTATAAATATTGCGGGAAACGCGGAGCAGGGGGAGTGCGTGGAAATACTTTTCTGCCATTTTTGAATTTTAGGAATTTGACTCCAGTGGTAAAAGTAAACACGGGGGGTATGCCCCCCATTATGTACATGGTAAGAGATTTATTGGGTAACATGCATTAATCGCTGTGGTATATTTTCTAAGGAAAACAGACTTTCCTATTGTCACACTTCCAATCTAACAATCTAACAGCCGAAGCATTTTTGAGAAAAAATGCTCATTGTCATCGATACAGAAGAAAAGGGTTAGGATCTCTAATTGATCGCAATAAAATAGAATGACATTTCTTCTCAATTTTAACTTCATGCTATACATATTAAATTAAATGTAGTTGTAAAAACAACTGTCCTCTTTTAGGTAAGAAATCAAACAAGGCCGTCCTGTTACGGAAAACATTCTTGGAATGTTCCTATTTTCACGTTTTGAAAATACGATGAACAAATAACATGGATTTCGCTTTTGTTGGCATTTAATTAATTAAATTTGAGTTTTGTACTTAGAAATTGTGCTTGAGCAGATTATGGGAGGATCAGAGCCAACAATGTTTTGTCCACTGTATAGCATTTACTTTTATATTTGAAATTTAAATACATAAAAAAAGTAGGAAGTCGCCTATAAATAATTGTGTAACGGCTTTTTTCACAAAATCCGCGGTTCGGTAAACTCACAAGTAATTCTAATCGGATATAACATCAACTTGTTTTTGCAAGTTAGCTTGTTTAACGAAAATCTTCACTTTTTCATGGAGAAATCTCCATCCCAATGCAAGAACATGCAACACAGTCAACACGCTTTGAACATCTCACAGAGGATTTTTCCAACGGAAACGACTTCATAAGATTTTTAAAAGACTTTTTCCACCATTTTTGTGTTGACAGAACGAAGCAATGGCAAAGAAAGAAGAAGCTTTCCGAAGCGAGCGATATGACGAGTTTCGACATTTCTTTGGCAATGTTCGCCAAGGATTATCTGGGCTTGATCTTGCAATTTTTCGATTTCATTCGGGGCTCTTAGTCCGCGAAGTTCTAAAAGATTGAAGTGAAGCTTCACAATAGCTATGATTTAGTAACTGTTAGCAATGAAATATTCAAAGCAACGACTCATCAACTCGTGAAACGATGTAATAAAAGCCCTGCTGTTGATTTTCAATAAAGAAGCATGAAAGTTTACCTGACTTGAAAAGAACCAAGGCCTTGAGGCATGCATATTCAACATCGTCCATCTGAAGTTGATGAAAACGAGCTACAACATTTTGCATCGTTCTCATATCTGTAAGCAATTCTCTTGTTGGTGGAACTGCTTGTGATGGCAACTCGCTCGATGATAACAGTGTGGTGTTATCGACAGGCAAACGATGATGAACGACATTCAGTATGAACAATTCAGTCCAAGATTCCTCAAGTAGAATAGCTTGATCACAAAAAGGCAGATCGGCGAACAACTGAACATTCCGTGCCCAGGTAACTGACATGTAGAGCAACTGAATTGAAGAGTCATAAAGACAACGGTTCATGGAGGTACATGAGAATGGTTCTTGAAATGTTCTATGCTCTTTAACATCAGTAGCATATTTTCTGTCAGCACGATTCTTCGTCATATTGTTGTTATCATTCTCGGCCTCCTTTTCACGTGTTCCTCCTTTTCGGAAGTGACGATTTGCGTTGGTGTCATCGTGTGGCACGGCAAGTTGATTTACATTCAATTGGTAATGGTTCTTTTGGTAATCATAGAGAGACGAGCTCTCGCCATTGACACCATTTTTGAATTGTACAACAGTCGAGCTATGATGTCCATTCGCACTTTGTAATGACTGCTCAGTGAGTCTGTTCACGAGGATCTCCTTGCTGTTGGCGCTATTTTGAGAGATCTTAAGATATGCGTTTGGGTAGTTGTAATCAAAGAAAAAACCATTGTCGCCATTTTTCTTAAAGCCAGAGTCAAAATCTGTGAAAACTGTGTCAGTTCTGCTCTCTAACCCGTTCCATTGGTTTTCCGATACTGCGGACGAGTAGGGTGAGTCGGATCCAGAACTTGTCTCATGCTTCACTAGTTTTGCAGCCTTGCTGCCTTTCCGTGAATTACATTTTCTTTTGGCCGCTAATTTCTTGGCGTGCAATATAGACCTGGGAGCTCGTTCATGTTGTACAGCTAACAAAAAACCATAGAATAAATGGTGTTATTCTTCACAGGCAACGATTTGTCATCACACATTCCCCTAGGCAAATTATTTTAAGTAGCACACAAATGGATCCAAGCTAGTCTCTTAAAGTCAATTGCGATTAAGCTGTTTTGATTCGATGTGAGCAATCTTTATAACTGTTTTACATAATGATAATTACCAATAAATAATGCTACTATTACCAAACGGTGAACGGAACTGATGATACTTCTTGTTAATATTAATTTTAAAATTGGGTATCTTTGAATTCAGACAAGATGCCTCCTTTTTTAAAGCACGAGCTACCCCATTCTTTACAGGGCAGTCAGTAAAATACGGTGCTGTGTTTAATTATGAGAGATTCATTCATTTAGAGATTATATATATACATCTCGGGGAGAGGGGGCAGAATATCTTTTTATGTTGTGTTTATTTCAATTTATCAGGACGAGCACATTAAAACTTAAAAGTTTCAAAGAATATTTTCAAAAAAAAGAAATTTCATAGTTAACTGAAAAATAACTAGACGTTAAGGCTTTGAACAATAATAAAGCCTGCATACTAACACTTTTCCGACCCCCACCCCTCAAGTGAAAAAGTAATTGTTTAATCATCAACCAACCATCTGGGTTCATGTTAACTTCATAACATTTCTTCAGCCGACATGATTGGCATTGATTGCGCCTGCTCACATCAATGACACATTCACCAATATTCTTGCAACTGTATTGAAGATTTCGTCGAACGCTTCTCTTGAAAAACCCGCGACAACCGTCACATGATAGCACACCGTAATGTTTCCCGGATGATCGATCCCCACACACCATGCACGAGCTCTGGGACCTACTAGTGAGCTCTGAAAAAATCAAACACACATTATAAATAATATAGCTATAGCTATCTACATTGGCGCACGTAGAAAAAATATGTTAGTTGTAAATAAAAAGTATGTAACATAAATTTTATAAGTCCGTAAAAAGATATAATACATAGTTACTCTGGCTAAAAAATGTTATACCGCCTTTGGCCTATGGGTCGTACTATATATATATATGGTATTTATTTCCCAATTCGGACGTTTGGGGTCAGGAGATGACTATTTTTAAGTAAAATAAAGCGCCTTAAAGCACATAGCTGTGCAATTGTCAAGTTTTTGCACAATTTTCAAAACAGGCCAAAACTTTGAAAGTTTGTTGCGTTCACGCAGCGTACGTCGTTTTGCATAGTATAACCAAAATAAACATCAAAAATGACTAAGAAGTGTTCAAAAATTTATGAGTCATCCATAGATTGACGCAGGTACCTGAAATCAAATGATTGTTTCGTTCAATGAAATGAACTTTAGTTCGTCATAGATCCGTGAAGCTTTGTCATTTGACAGTCTTTAGTTATTAAAAGATCGGTCAAAAAACTAACTTGTCTTCAAGAATTAATTCATGATAGAAAATTTGTCAAGCCTTAGTTTCATAAAGAACGGCAGCATTGGCGGCTTGATAAGGGCAAACGTTGACTTGATATAAGTCTCATGTCATGTTTAACATAATTTATGCTATATATATGCAGCTGATGGCTGATTCAACTATTCTGCTATAAGAAGAAACAATTCCGGAAATAAGTTTTCGCATGGTGTTTGTTTACCAACTATAGAACTAGTTTCTTACATAATAAAAAGTTTACCTACCCATCATTCTATTTTCAAAGGTATTTTAAATTAAAGACAGTTAAATATCGTGTATATATGATCTTGAAAAAAAATTAAAGATGGACAAAAGCGATAACATTTTTATTCTACTTTGTAGTCCAAAGAAGATTTTTCAAAAACGTACAGATGGTTGATTAAGTGTATTATCATATAACGGCCGCATGAGCGATGAAACACTATAAGACCAGCTGCTCGCACACCCACAGATTTTAACGTCTACTAACAGGTAGTTCTAAGCCACTCGTGTATGCTAAACGTCCTTCGTAAGCAGGGACTGTCCATTATGATTAAATTTAATCATGTTTTTCAAAGTGCTTTGTTGTTTAGAAAGGTGCTCAATTCCTCTTATTTAAAATACAAATCAAACGTCAATGCTGCAGAAACGCATAGATCAGTTTGATAGCCACGATCCAATGAACTCAATATTATAATAACAAAGTTAAATCTGACGGCAACTATACATTGAACATGCCGTGTAACCCCAAGCAAACTCCGCCATATTTATGTTTTTGCTCTTTTCTCTTATACGCTACGCATTAAAAACATACCGTGAAAACACGGTGATTATTAACGACAGCACACTTTATAACAAGGAAATAATGAGACCAAATAAAAACTACGAGTAAAGATCACTTGCGATCTGCGTATGTATAAAGCATACTACCATAAATTAGGGCATTTTATTCAGCTAGATACCAATCTCATCACAGATTCCTTTGCGACAAAACTTACAATGGAGGTTGACAATTACATTATCTCTTTACTCCACCCAATAAGCGGTGACATAATTCATCGATGATGAACCAGACAAAGCCAAGTATCATGTTGAGTATGTTTAATCATCTAATCACATTTTACCTTGTTTTCGCGAGTAACGTTCTTCAGAGTTCATTGTATTTTTCTGTTGTTTTTTTTTGCGAAAAGAGAGCCAAAATGATTCGAGACTGCTTATACTCGGTGTACAGATCAAGCGTAAAGCTTCAAAATCATTTATACAGCTAACCTTTATGATATGCAGATATCGAATACCTGCTCAAATTGCGGGTAGCGTTTAAAGTAATTCTTCGTTACAATTGGTTGGGAGAAGAACATTGATTGTTAAATATATGTACACGAATTTTTTCAGTATGTACGTAGTTATGTATGCATTTTGATCCTTGGATATAGGTAAAGTTCCACATACTTATCGTAGGTCACAATGATCGTACCTTGCCTCATTGACGAAGACCTGCCCGCAATGAAATCATGAATAAGCCGAAAAAAAATTCATAAGCGCATTCCATGACGGAGTTCACAAAAGCAAAGTTTCATTAGTTCTTTATACCAGCCAATGAAGTGGGCGACAAAAAACCGACGCAATACAAGCGCGCGTTGCTTCAACGAAAATGACAGGAGCGTCACCAAGCAATACCAAGCCACTGATGATACCATACGAACACGTTTCGTTTCAAAGGATCCACGACAAGATAAGAAAAGGACTGTGAATGTTTCTTTCCATGCGGATAAATCATTTCCTCGTTACCGTTCTGTAAGTTATATAGGTAAGTTATAACATTTATACTTGAGGGGGGGGGTATTTGGCCACCCCGGCCCTCTTATTGGCCTAGCACTGAAACAAAATTACACCCCCCCCCTTGTAGTTGGTATTTCAAATATTTTTGCGGATGACACATTCCTCGATGCTTATTTCACAACATGTCTGTTGCGTTATTGTTAAACTACTCTACAAATGCATAAAATAGCATTTACGAAATTGCAGTTTTTAAAATTTGTATGGGGAAGGGTATTTCTGGGCTCTCTGCCACATGGCTCATGCTTCACAGGCCCTTTGAGGTTAATGGCCTCTCAGGGCAAAATCTTTACAATATCTCTTGAAGTAAGGAAAATGACAAGTTGGAAATATGACAAGTATGCTCATGGAAAACACATTCTTTTACTATATGCACATATCTTCCCACAAGAAAATATGCAAGAAACAAGCTATCTAAAATATACATATACAAATACAGCTTATACGTACCCATGCAGATATTTTAAAAACATGTGATCGCGTTTTTATTTCTTTAGTCCTTGAATCCTTGGAGACGCTGTACGATCGTAAAAAAACAAAAAGTTGAGTCTTATAGTTGAGAAACAATGACTAAAACCATTGTGAAAGACGTAGATGGTTTAAGCGTGACTTATACGGCGCGGACCAACCACAGAAAAAGAATGTGCGAAGTTTTCGTTCTCTTGTTTGACAAACAAGCATAAACAGTTGGAATTTTGTTGTCTTTTGACACACACATACAACGTACCTTATGAGATCTTTATATATTGCTTTCGCCGACTCGAGATACGGATTCACATCATCCTCAAACTGAGAGCAAAGTAATGAATACCAGGTTGAAACAGAGCAAACATAGCTAAACTGCAGAGAATACCCACTTACTTGGCAGACATCTCCACCAAGACATAAATGAGCGAATATTCTGAATATAAACTCGCTTTTCTCAGTATCAGAAAACACATCATAATGATCAGATTCATCCGTCAGATGCATCTACAGTGAATCAAATACTGCAATTAACTGACGTCTTGTCTTCACAGTCTACACTTTTTACAAGTGATTACAACATTTGGCTAATTGTTCGAAAATAAAAACTAACTGCATAAGGCCCGTTCACACGATCCAATTTGACAGATCCGATTGTTTCGATTCCTCTAATTTTTCAAATTGTTGGATCCGACTGTCAGAAACTTACTTTAAATGTGTTCATATGATCCGTTTCTTAGTATTCGTTTTTTAGCATCCGTTTTTTAGCATCCGTTTTTTAGTATTCGTTTTTTAGTATCCGTTTTTTAGTATTTTTAGTAATCGCAACATTTTCCTCGACATTTTTCTTGTAGGCCTTTTTATATTGTTTTATTGATGAGAAAATGAATGAGTACTATTGAGTACCTTGCGTAGCTCGTCTGATATCAAAAATCCTTCGATGTATTCATCAAAACATTTATAGATCATTCCAGAATCACGAACCAAACCTGAAGCAAAGATCTTGCATCCATCGACTTTTTATGAGTATATCCTACCCTTCCCCCCACATACAAACTCTCATTTCTTTCATTCGTTAAATAAGGATGTGTGCCTGGATATATTTAGATCCAGTTCAGAGGAAGGCGCATGTAAATGTAAAGAAACACGGAATAAAAATACAGAAGGAACATAGCCTTTCTTGTTATTTATATGTATATACGATTGACTTAAGTAAAATGTCCAATTCAATGGCACTTCTCTTCTTTTCAACATATTTTGCTCATCTACCTTGCCTAAAGAGTTTATTGAAAAACTCCATATTCAACACAGAGCAAGGAACAGGATCGACAAAAACTTTATCAATATTCAACGCTCCTGAACGAGAAAAACATAATGCAATTATTTGTAAGACCTATACGAGCTTACTATTTAGATTATGATGTAAATTCTTCTATCTTATACAATTTTTCCATTACAGTTTTTCAATATGTACATTTAATATAGTTTGTATGCAGGGCCCCTATGGAGACCAGTTGATAAATGGGCTACCCAGCTAAAAAAGAATTTTTCTTTCCATTTGCTGAAAACCCGTTCTGTGAGCTAATAATTAATGAGTAACATAAAAATCGGCTGCGAGCTTTTTCTTTAATCATACCGAATTGGGTGTAACAGTTATTAAATTAAAATATAACTACTAGAATCATATGTTTCATAATAGCAGACGGCCACCATAAACTGCTAAATATTCAGTGATATTATTGAACTCCCTAATTAGGCGACAGCTAAAACGTACGACAATCTTACCTATAGAAGCCGACGATCCACTTTTGGAAAAAACCTATATACATATATTGTAAAAAACAATGAAACATGCTGGTGTATCATTTTGTAAACTAAAAATCTGTGCTGTATGTATACAACAAGACACGGAAATCTATCTCAAGGTCACGGCAATAACTTCTTGAGATACTTAAATCGATTTTAAGAACATTGACAATGTATTTGATGCGTCGAAAATTTCATCTTCGTTAACTTTTTGGAGCTAGAAGAAGATGATTCCGCGCCGTTAGGAGAAAACGCTCGTTTCGTAAAGATACAATGAGATAGAATTTCGACCAGAGGGGAAATATCGTACGGACAGTTTTACTTTATAAATGTTTTCTTTGATTATTCTCTCAAACAATGTAATCAAACTATACACCTTTGCTGCGTCTTAAATTTGAATTGCAACCTTTTAGAAAGATTTGCTGAATAGTTTCATTACTTATATCTAAAAATTGTCCGTGAAAGATGGTTAGTGCGGTCTGAAATCATTTGGGGACAAATTTAAACTTAAAACCAAAACAAAAAAGTTTGTCTTATAAAAGTTTGTCTTAAAATTCTTGAATAATTTACCTGAAGATTGGCTTGAACGCATGGATCTGTGAGAAAATCCTAAATAGGTAGATGAAACATTTACATCTATGGATACGTTCAATTTGAACAAAATTGATAGCAGAACCAAAGGATGAATTTTACCAAAAAGTTGTGCTATGCCCAACAGAGCTGCATAAGTTTAATTTAATTGAAATTGCTGACAATTTTTACAATAAAAATGCTACATAGTTTACTTACCATAACAAAATCATTTTTTTTATATTGTTGAAAGTGCTTGTCAAAGGTAAACATCTGTAGTTTCATATGATCATACATTCCCCTAGAAAAAATTCCATTAATAGTTCAAGACAGGAGACGGCTACCATTTAAGACAAAACGCCCATCTCATTTACACATGAATGAAGGTGATATAGATCTATTTTGAGAAGTATGATGGCACATGAAATATTGAAATGTTCCATTCTTGAATATTAAAACTACAACAATTAGTCTACAAGGCATCCCATCTCAATCATTGCATTACAAACATGTAGCTTCAACTCAATACTGTAACGATTCAATAACTGTGCCCAGGGTACACACTAGGGGATGTTTGAGTTTGCGAAGGGTAACATGCAACACCCCCCTAAGCTTTTGTGAAATATAAACAAAATGTCTGTCCACAAAATGAATTGAGGCCAAAAATTAGTTGAGCAAATATTGCAAACACTTGAATCAAATAAAGATACTTCAAAATTCTGTTGCAGAATGTATAATCCCCCTTACACACACACCCTCGCCAGTTCTTTTGGTAGATATTGCGTGCCCAAGTAAAGAGTCAGCAGGCAATTTATAAAAAACATTACAAAATCATGACATGATTCTCTGAGATAAACACCCTTTGTAACAACTACAAACACATTGATGTAGTAAGTGCAATTTTAAAGCAAATTTTATCAAGTAACTGAAATCAATCAATTGCTTCGAAGTATTTTGCTGATTGTATTATAAATGGATTAAAGAATTTCCATAATTTCAGCTAAGTTTTCGGACGACTTTATTCCAAGATCAACAAAATTTTGGGTTGCTCCATTAGAGTGATATGATCATGCTGATATAATTTGGGGGGACACTAGCAATGACATCACTAATGTTTTGTTTGCAAACAATTTCAAGCAGACAGTAAAAAACATACGTACTTATTAGTCAAGATCCATCAATTTTCTGCAGTGAGGTGTTGCAGTAATACATAAGATCACAAAAATAAAACCATTTATATAAAACAAAAATAAAAAATGTTTCACACTTGTCCTAAAACCTGATGATTTCGCTTGTTGTGTCAAGTTAGCGGTGGATATGACAAAAGCGAGTAGCAAAAAATCTTTACATGTTTGTAATTGTAGATCGTCCAGGTTGGTTTGGTCCTGAGAAGGACTGTTTTTGTTGTTGTTGACTGATGTTTCGACAACCTTAGCGGTAGTCATCTTCAGAGTCAAATGAGGAGTAAACGTCAGGTTAGCCGTATTTGTTATCTGGTTCATTGTATTGTGTGTACAGGAAATGTGTATTGTCATTGTGAATTAGTGTGAAGTGAAATATTTTTAGTTGTGAAGTGTGATTTAGGACGATCTACATTTACAAACATGTAACGATACTCCCGGGTTCAAACCATTTACTTTAAAAAATCTTTCACACAACTTGTGAATTCAATTTTTGAGCTCAAGGTTGTCCTTTCTACATACATGACAAACTACATCTCATAAATCTGGCTGGATTCAAAATGTAAGTTTTTAACCTCAAAAATAATTTAGATAAATAGATTTTATTCCATTTTTGAGGCTATCACTATCTATCAGATTATACTATCAGCCGTTCAAATTAAACGACAAATTAAACGACAAATTAAACGACAAATAATAAGCTCAACAACAAATTACGAGAAAATTGATCTAGCTTTTCAATTGCTGCAAAGTCTTTTTACCATTTAGTAAGCAGCTCCTTTAAAACGTTGGATGAAAATGCAGGAAACTTGCGATCGGCTACGTACTGGAAATTAAAGTTTTCCGCCATTTTTAAAGTATGTTTGTTACCTTGACGTGAACAAATACTTCATGTACGTATACTTAATACTTTTCCAAAAAAATGCACATCAGAAACAACATTTTCTTTTTCAGAAAATTGACTTCAGAAAATGATTTCTTGGAAAACTGACTAAGGACGTTTAAATTTTATCAATTTATGCATGCCACTTGCCAAATCTTGACGAGAGATATTAATATAAAGTGTAAAAATAAGACACAAAGAAAGATCACCAAATACGCCAGGAATCCGACAAATTTTCTTGAGTCTCTACCCAAAGTAAAACGATTTTTAAGATCTTCAGTTTACTCTGGGTAAGATTGAGATGTTTGCCTATCTCCAAGAAAAGAAAGCCCAGTAAGAAGAACATCAAAAACAACTAACAACAAGTGCAAATATGGAAAGATCAGTTGATTCACGTTGAAAGTGTAATCTAAGCGATTCCTTGTTCAGTCCGGTTGCACGAAGCATGGATAGCGTTATTCACTGGATAGCAAATTTTTCTGAACGTTCATAAAATCTCTTCTAGGAGAAAAGTATACGATATGAGCTGTGCAATCACTAAAATAAAATATTGTTTCGAAGATTACAAAATTTCTTTGTCGTAAGAAAAATATAAACACCTTTTTTACAAGTTTGAAAATTTTCGCTATCCAACGGATAACGCTATCCAGGCTTCGTGCAACCGGCCCCTGGTCTGTAATTATGTCTGAGGACGAAACTTTATTAAATAATCGTCTAATGCTGTATATCAATGGTCGAGTGTATAGAACACTGAGAAGGATGGTTAAGTCGCACCCAACTTTTCAATGGTGGAGTGTTCCCCAAGATTCCTACAGCATAATTCATAGAGCACACTAGATGAACATTAAGAGCAAAGGACATCTGCAAGGCTGTATGAAGAATTCGACTCACGTAGGTTATGGAGTGGCTGAGAATTGAACTTCTACGTGTAACTTCTGTCAAATCCCATTCTTTACCAAAATCACAAAAATCTGTTTTGTTCTTGAAAATCTGTAGAAGAATACGCTGATTTTAGAAGAATCAAAACTATGAGAAGCTTAGAGGATAAAGTCTAACTTTCCAGCATTACGCATTGAATTCGATGTATTATTTATTAGCTATCTTGTGCACATCTTTTTCCCAAACACTAGTCACCACTGTGGTTAACAGGGGAGCACGTTGTTATGTAGTTACATTTGGTATATATGTTACTGCATATCTTCCCATTTATGTTTGTTTGAATTGTGAAACTCACTCCCGCTATGATGATCAATACCGTCGGTTTTCCTTTAACAACTTACATAAATTCAAGTCAATTCAAAAACAAGGATGCAGCTAATTCCGAAATTTTCGCAAAAACCACACTACGACATTGTAAAAGCTGCACAACCAATCAGATTGCAAGAAATGAAAAAAGCAATAGGCATATAATAGTCAAAATAAAATGGTAATGACTCTACTTGAATGAAATAATGCGTTAAATTGCATACTTGAAATTAAATTCCACTTTCAAATTTGCATAAAATAACATTCTTTTAAAAATATGCACCGAGATGAGAAGATAGAATCATTTAATGACGTGTAGCGATATGTTTGAAATAATCAAAGTTAGTTCACACGAATTGGGCGCAGAGTCTTTTAATTTCTTTAGGATCAACCGAGAGAACGATACCAATGATTTTACGAAGCGTTTTGAAGTCATTTTCG